ATGGGTTTGTGGTATGCTAAGAGCAATTCATTTGAGTTAGTGGGATACTCAGATTCTGACTTTGCCGGATGCAAAGTTGACCGGAAAAGTACATCTGGTACTTGTCAATTCATTGGTGGAAATCTTGTTTCTTGGTTCAGTAAGAAACAAAACTCCATTTCTACATCAACAGCAGAAGCAGAGTACATTGCTGCTGGTAGTTGTTGTGCTCAAATTCTGTGACTGAAGCAACAACTACTGGACTATGGAGTCAAGACAAAGGAAGTGACAATCTTCTGTGACAATCAAAGTGCTATAGCCATCTCACAAAATCCAGTGCATCATTCTCGCAACAATTTCAAGGTTTATGATTCTTGGTTTTTCAAGCATGTCAAACACAAAACTCAACCAAATGACCATCTATGAAAGTAGAAACAACCTATATGAACATTCTAGTCATTAGATATATCTACGGGCTTACCTTAATGTTAGATGATGATTTCGGCAAAAAGACGGCGAAACTTCCGGCAACAAAAGCTCTCAACTCCGGCGACCTTTCACGAAATTGATAGCACCAGAGTGTTTTCCTTTCTCAGAGCAGCAGAATAGAGGAAAAAATAGGATGTTTTGGTGAAGAATAGAGGGAGTTGGGTGTGGTTATGTAAGAAGGAAGAAGAGGAAGATGCCAAGGTTCACTCCTGTTTGTGCGGCCGAGTGGAGTGATCGGCGATTGTGTAGGATTTCAAATGCAAGTCCCTGATTCGGACTAATTTCAGTCCCAGTCAGGGTACACTTTTTGGTCCAAGTTTCTCCAAATTGAAATCCGATTGAACCGTTGGGGTTAGACAGTCAAACTCTACACAATAATATAATTTTCATTAATTATTGACAAACTTTATAATTCAATTATTTTTGGGGTCCTTCTCAGTAATTAATTAATTATCAATTAATTAATTCTGATAGGCCTATTTTCGGGGCGTTACATTTCTCTCCCCCTTAAAATAATTTCGTCCTCGAAATTACCTGAGTCATTGATTGAAGAGATTCAGATACTGTGTTCTCATTGACTCTTCGTTTTCCCATGTTGCTTCTTCAGTCGAATGATTCCTCCATAGTACTTTGACTAGAGGTATGGATTTGTGTCTCAGTTGTTTGACTTCTCGTGCTAGAATTTGTACAGGTTCCTCCTCATAAGTCAATTGTTCGTCAAGAGTTACGATTCCTTCTGTCAAGATATGTGATGGATTGGAACGATATTTTTTCAACATCGATACATGGAATACGTCATGGATTTTGTTCAGTTCTGGTGAAAGTTCTTATCAATAGGCTACTGGACCCACACGTTCAGTGATTCGATAGGGTCCAATATATCTCGGACTTAGTTTTCCCTTTCTACCAAACCGTAACACTTTCTTCCACGGTGAGACTTTCAGAAACACCTTGTCATCAACACTATATTCGATCTCCCGACGTTTTAAGTCGGCATAAGATTTCTGTCGATCGGAAGCCACCTGCAATCTTTCTCTAATGAGACGAACCTTCTCTTCAGTTTCGCGAATGAGATCAGGTCCTTCAAGCTTTTTTGCTCGCTTAATTTTTTCCAGCATACTGAGGTTCTACAGCGTCTCCCATACAAGGCTTCGTACGGGGCCATTTGGATACTCGCTTGATAACTGTTGTTATACGCGAACTCCATTAGCGGTAAGTATTGTTCCCAGTTGCTTCCAAAATCAATTACACATGCTCTCATCATATCTTCAAGAATTTGAATTGTCCTTTCAGATTGTCCGTCAGTTTGAGGATGAATGACGTACTAAAGTTAAGTTTAGTACCTAAGGCTTTCTGCAAACTCTTCCAGAATTGCGACGTGAATCGCGGGTCACGATAAAAAATGATAAAAAAAGGTACACCATGTAATCTTACGATCTCACGGAAGTATAATTCTGCCAATTTCTTCAAAGACATATCACGTCGAATTGGGATAAAATGAGATGACTTGGTTAATCGGTCAACTATTACCCAAACAGCGTCATTCTTCTTGGCTGATAATGGAAGTCCGATTACGAAGTCCATCGTAATTCGTTCCCACTTCCATTCCGGGATAGTAGGTGGATGTAATAACCCACTTGGCACTTGGTGTTCAGCCTTAACTTGTTGACACGTCAGACATCATGTGGTAAATTCAGAAATTTCTCGCTTCATTGTGGGCTACCAATAAATCTTCTTCAGATCTTGAAACATTTTATTACTACCAGGATGCATGGTATAAGTGGTCTCGTGAGATTCACGCATTAAACGTTCCCTCACTTCACCACTAGGAACTACCAAACGATCCTTGTAGAATAAAATTCCATCATTCACCGTGAAATCTTGTCTCTCCCCCTTAGAGACAAGTTCACAAGTCTTCAAACAGTAATCATCACGTTTTTGTGCAGCATGAATTTCGTTCTCAAGAGTAGGTTGAACTCAGAGTTCGGCTATCATCTTTCGGCTCAATGCGTCAGCAACTACGTTAGCCTTGCCAGGGTGATAGTCAATGTAGCAATCGTAGTCTTTGATCAATTCCAACCATCTTCTCTGTCTCAGGTTCAATTCTTTTTGAGTTACTAGGTATTTTAGACTTTTGTGGTCTGTGTGAATATATGTCGTCTCTCCAAAGAGATAATGACGCCATATTTTCAGAGCAAATACAACTGCTACTAACTCAAGATCATGAGTAGGATAGTTACATTCGTGAGGTTTCAACTGTCTTGATGTGTATGCCACGACTTTTCCGTCTTGCATGAGTACACATCCCAAGCCATTATGAGATGCGTCACTAAAGATTGTGTAGTGTACACCTGGTACTGGTTGGGTCAGCACAGGTGCTTCTGCCAGACATTTCTTTAGTTTCTCAAAACATTGCTGACATGCATCGGTCCATACAAAATTCACATCTTTTCTCAGAAGTTTGTTAACTTGTAACACCCCAACCCGCATGACCCAAACCCGTGAGACAGCGGACCGGTGTGCAACTGAATTGGTATCCGAATTTGCGACATTTCCAAAACAATTTAAAACAAACGTTCTATCAATACATATAAAAATCCATCGGAGTAATTTAAAATAATGCGGAAGCCTTTTTAAAGTCAAACAACTTGGGATCTTGCCCGAAAACGTAATAAGCATTAAAGTTAATTAAATAAAGCATATCAACAGATTAAAGAGACAGCCACGCCATCGTACATCTCCTCCTCAATGCCCTATGGGATCGGCTCTAGGTTCATCTGTCTGTTCACCTACGGACAGCAAAAAGGAAAACAACGCTATCCGCTCAGCATTGACGCCGAGTGGTACTCCATTGTAGCACAAGAATAAACATAATAATTCAACAATTAAGATCGTGCATATGTTTATCCTTTTAATAAAAATCAATTCAACTTTACATTCGGTTCTTTAGACGGTTGACCAACAGTCAACTTATTTTCTTTCTTTTCAAAACGATTTAGGTGTTACGGGTTTCTCATGAACTCTTTGACCACCGGTCAAACCAATTTAGACTTTCACC